AAAAGGAATTCTGATCACAGCAAATGTTTTTTTTCTTTTTTTAAATGACAAATCTAATATATATAATACATAGGTACCTTCCCCTTGATGAATGAGAAAAATACAAGAGCTGAGTTAAATTTTAGGTCAATGAATGTAGTTTTCCTGTCTAACAAGAACCTTTGCTATAAGTTCTAAAAAGTAACACATGCTGAAAGACAACTGTATCTTATGAAAGACCCTGCACCAAAGTCTTTCAGAGAAATGGGATGCAGCATCCACTAAACATCCTGTCTTATTTCCATTCTGAAATCATTGTTTGCTTGGTTTAAATTCACATTTAACGGGCAGCCTGGATGGCTCACTGGTTTAAGGTGCCTGCCTTCTGCCCAGGGCGTGATCCTGGAGTCCCAGAATTGAGTCCCACGTCTGACTCCCTGCATGGAGCCTGCTCCTCCCTCTGCCTGTGTCTCTGCCTCTCTCTCTCTCTCTCTCTCTCTCTATCATGAATAAATAAATAAAATCTTTTTTAAAAAAAATCACATTTAACTAATAAAAATGAACACAATAAGACAGTACTCTGTATCCCCCCCAAAGATTATCTTCCAATGATACTCAGATTACTTACCAGTCCTACATAAGTCTTTTAAAGAAAAACCTCAGCTTCATCTCTAAAGGAAACTTCCTGTTTAGTTAAAATGGGATTTGGGGTTGGATTTGTTTCATACACATAGAAAAGAATGGAATTATTTTTCTTTATTACAAAGACAATACCTTTTGTCTTTAGAGATGTATTTCCACTCAGGCTGTATTTCATAGCAAATTATATTCTCAACCATAAAACTCATAGGTGTTTTGTATGTAATATTTTATCTTATTGTTTGCGTCTAGTGTTAATCAGCACACAGATGGCTTTATTTTCAGGAAAGAGGTCATTTTTTTCAGTCTTCAAAATGCTTTTATTAAAAATTACTACATATGTTTTAAAAAAGTAACATATTCACTTGTAAAGCATTTGAACAATACAAAGGCAAATAAAGTAGAAACCAAATTTTCCACTTAACTGCCCCCACCAAGATGCTACTACTTCTGTTGTACTTTCTTAAAAAGGGTTAATCATACCATACATATCTACACCTTCTCAATGGCACACACACACTAAAAAGATTACTTTAAAAAGTCTTTACAACTTACAATTAAACACACAATTCATTGTAAGCTTCTCATTGGAAAACAAGCGAGGAAAAACAAAAAAATAATCTTGGTATCTAAGTTAAGTCTTTTTAAAGGACACAGTTTACAAATGTTTCTCTCTCCACCCTCAATAACAAAAGGTTACAGACTAACATCAAGAAGTAGCTGCCTCTTGAAGGTCAATCAATCATCTGGTTTTAGTAAAAACTAAAATGTTACAAGACACTGACAGTGAAACATGCAGAGCACTCAAAGAAAAATCAGAGCCACCAATCTGGATCAAACATGACATTAAAAGCAAGAAGACACAAAGCTCTTTTTCTTCTCAGAGTCAACCAAAGTGACTAGGACTAGCAGAGCTCATTCCACACGTGAGCAGAAAGGGTGCAGACATCCCTCCCAGCAGCAGCTGCTGCAAACAGGCTGTGCACATTTATCCAGTGACTGGGATGCACAAAACAAGCACAGACTTTCCATTAAGAATTTTGACTACTCTGACACCGCCCACAGCAGACAGGAAATCTGAGGCCATCAATACAGCTAACTGATACATGGAAATCATCATAGGTAGCTCTGGCAAGAGCATACAGACTCCCACCCCCAAGCAAGAATTCAATTGAAGAAGCAGAGCAAACTCCTTTTGCATTTTTCAAAAGGGTGTTTGTGTGTGCATACACACACACACATACACACACACACCCATGTGTGCACAACTTTTATAGAAGTGTGGCTTCCAAGAACCAGGGAGAATTCAGATAAAGTAGAAACGCTCTTCCATCAAATGGTAGGAGTTCCTAGAACAGCCTTCTTAGCAAATATGTACCAACAAGACATGCTAAGAAAACCCATGCCCTCAAGAAGCTGACTTTAGTAGAGGCAGATAGGAAAAAAATAAATAGAAGATATAATGTATCAGAAGTTGGTAAGCCAATGCAAAAAAAAAAAAAAATTCAGAGAAGAGCAAGAGAGAATACAGAGGGGAGGTCGTTGTGTATTTTTTTAAGGAGGCTCCACACCTAGTGTGGAACCCAACAGGGCTTGAGCCCCAAGATCAAGATCTGAGCTGAGATTAAGAGTTGGTTTAACTAAGCCCCCCAGACGCCCGTTGGAGGCTGCTGTGTATTTTTATAAGACGGACAAGTACGGCCTCACTGTGGTGATAGCTCAGTAAAGAGCTGAAGGAAGGTAAGGAACAAGTCTAAGATATTCCTAAAAACAGACTTAAGGCAGTTTAATTCTGGACCAAGATATTAACTCCATGATATCAAGGAGAAATTCAAACTAAACACCGTCAATGTCCCCCATCCCTCCACCTCCACAAGTGACTACAGCAGATATAGCAACCTCACAGGACGAGTGAATGGAAAGATCTCACATATATATACTGACCACAGCAACAGGGTCTACTGAGGAATCCCCTCTGCACGGCTTCTAAATTCACCAGCAAGACCTCACTGTTACCGTGCATCTGTATCAAAGGTTCACATATTAGAGTATGGCTCTACATTCCGTTTGGCCTGCTTGTATGAGAGGGTCTTGCAGGGACTCTAAACCCGTCGCCTCTGCTGTGATGGGGCACCTCCTACCATCAACCTGAATGACCTTAAGTGAGGAGCAGACCCTGCAGGCCAACTGGGGTGAGAGAGGATGACAGCTTATTGGGCCAAGTAAGCATGACAGGGAACACAGGAGGTTCCTGAGATCATAATTTAAAGGGAGAATAGCTGAATAGTGGAAAAAAGAGAAGGCAGGTACTAGGACTTCAGGCCACACACAAATAAATCAGGGATGATTTCTGAGGATTTGGACCAAATTAGTACAATATCCACTCTAGTTTGCTGGGGCCAGGCAGGGTAAGGGTCCTGAGTCAGTTTGTGAGTACAAAAGGACAAACAGGGATGGGTGTGGTTGGGAAAGAGGGGTGCGGAGATATATAAAGAGGTTTAAAACCAAAGGTAAGAGAAGAAATGGGAACTAGAGTTCAGAAGGACATGCTGGAGATCAGAAAGGGTCTGGAACATACAGAGCCCCAGGCTGTCATCCAAGTGCAATGGGCTTGAGAAGCTAAGGAAAGTGACCGCCTGCCACCCACCCTAGTGTCTGTACCAGGGAAGGTGTAAGAGCTGCCAGGGGAGCTGCCAGGCATAGCCCTGTTCAAGGGGCTAGACTTCCTGGTACTTGTGACTGAGGACAGCAAGTAGGCCACAGGACTACATCCTTGCTATCTGTCCTCTACAGCTACTTATATGCTTTCTTACATGTGAGCACACACGATCATAAACACACACACATGTACCACCCCTAAGTTTAACTCCTAACCTCTAAATCAGGAAGGAATAAGTTTATAAAAATTACCACCATTCCTTTCCTAGCAAGAGTCCAGTCAGGCACTAATTGATTCTACTCACTGAGGAGCTGTTTCTCACCATCACCCACACATGATAGAGGTTAAGCAATGGTGATAATGGATGGCACCTGCCCCAGAGCAGACTTCATGTTCCAGATAAGCCTTTTTGACATGATACCCATCACAGGGAAACAAGATGATCAGAGCTTTAAGTTACAAAGGAGGATATTTAATACACTTTAGAAAAGAAATCAGTATCTATCCTGAACTCCAAGTTAATTTCCAATCACCGAAAGTGTGTGTGTGTGTGTGTGTGTGTGTGTGTGTGTGTGTGTGTGTAGGGGAGATATTCATAGGAATTGTCAAGAATCTTTAAATTCTACAGTTTTTGAAGTCATTTTTACCAAGCACGAGGATAAATACAACTTTCAAGTGTCATAAATCCCAGTCCTTGACTGTAATATAATTTCCAGAAGCTAGTGGGTATCAGACATGAGTTCATTTATATTAAATGGTACAGTAATGGAAGACTGGCAATTTGATCGAATACGAGCAAGACTAGATATTAAAAGTGCTTCTAAAAAAAATAAAAAATAAAAAATAAATTAAATTAAAATTAAATAAAAGTGCTTCATAAACTAATAATTTTTTACACCATCTATTTCAACACAGGGAAATCAATGTTCTATAAAAACACTGGTAAGGGGATCCCTGGGTGGCTCAGCAGTTTAGCGCCTGTCTTCGGCCCAGAGCGTGATCCTGGAGTCCCAGGATAGAGTCCCACATCCGGCTCCTTGCATGGAGCCTGCTTCTCCCTCTGCCTGTGTCTGTGTCTGTGTCTCTCATGAATAAATAAATAAAATCTTAAAAAAAAAAAAAAAACGGTAAAAAGACATTATAAAGCATTTTTAATAACTATATCTTCCCCCCTTTTAATTCTGCTAAACTTATTGCAACAGTGATTAAGCACTCGTTCTACCATGAACTATAATTTGTTAATTTGGGGAAACTTTGGCTTTTATGAAACATTTTCAGGGGCTTCCCTTGCAGATACTGAGCAATGTGTTACTGTGTTTTACCTTTGCTTTTGCCACTGAGATATTCAGAATCAAATCTGTAGTCACAGCATGGGAACATTAGAATTTGCATTTTCCACATGTTTTAGTTTTCCCCAAATCTCAACATTCTAATAAATTAGTATTTTTGCTGATCCTGAGTTTTATCTTTCAAACTTATGACACCATTTTACTTTGTTAATTTCTAGTGAGGCTCAGATTTTTGTGGAACAAGTAATATATAAACAAAATGTTTTATTTTAATGCATATTTAAAATAAAGATTTGTCAAGGGTTCTTAAAATAAAGATCAGACAAGAGTTCTATTGCCCTGATTCATTCTTTCCCTCGCTCCACATTAATGAACATAAAATAAATGTATTTGAGAACTAGTCAAGGCCAATTAAGATTCCACCCAATACTTACCAGGAGCAATGGTCTCCAGCGTATCAGCACTGACCTTCCGAGTACTTGTGCAGTGATAAAGGGTAGAACCCGAAAATACCAAGTAAAAAACTACATCATCCTCAACTTTGTCCTCTTCAGCCAGCAACACGGTAACAACACAATCGCCCTAGGAAAGGAAAGACAGAGTCAGGTTCCTCTTCAGAGTCTATCTTCATAAAACATCAAATTTAAGGGAAAATCAAATGTATTGTCTAATCTGTGTCCCACTCTAGTAGGTTACACAAATATTAACACTGACCACTTATGTGCCCGGAAGTACCAAAGGCATTGAGAATACAAAATGATCTGAAAATTAGAACTCTATCCTTCTTAAAGCCTAGGTTTTAGTGGAGGTGGTTAGACAGATAAGTAAACTAACAAGGTAATAACAGCTTTGGATATTTACTTGATGAATGGTTAAAAAAGAAATCCAAAAATAAGGCCAAGAAGATGGAGGAGGCATACTGAATAACTACATTCTTATACCCAAAATGCCCCCTGACCCATATTCCAGTGGCAGTAAGAACTCTGAATCTCAGAAATCACTGCCAAACCCACTCATTCTCCAACAAGAAGAGTTTCCAATGAGCTGGCCTGGAAGTGGAAGAGTGCCAAGAGCATACGCTTGGGGTCCAGTCAAATCTGGGTTTAAGTTCCACATATAAAGACTTTACTTAAATTCTCTAAATCCCATATTCCCTGGCTATGTAAAGAGACAATACCTTCTCTTCTTGTAGTTAATACATGAAAACTCTTAGAACACATTCAGCTCTCAGTCTATTATGATATTCTTTATCTAGAATTATGGGACAATCACTTTTCCAATTATGTGTTTCCTGACCATCTGGAATCCCTACTATTCTTTACCCACCATTCCCTCAAATCCTTGGAATCAGACAAAAATCTTGTGTCAAAACCTTTGTCCATGACTTTGCAACTATTGATATCTTTGTCATTTATTTGCAAATACTCTTTCTAGATTTAATTGAGATTAGTGTCTAAATAAATATATTCTATAAAATATAGTCCTAACTACTATTCTCCCAATCATAAATATTATACAATTCATGTTGTCAACATAAACAAAAGATTTTAAAGCGCTGAGGTTTAGTATTATCTAAATCTTAATAATGTACTATGAAAAATAAGGAAAAAAGAATAATGCACTTTTGAAAAATCAATTTAGAGAAAACCAGGTTACTTTAGCATTAAATAGGGGCAAGAATGGTCCTACCTTACACGTTTGTTTTTTGTTTTGTTTTGTTTTTCTATTTTAGCTACAAAGAAGACTATTAGAGAACTATGCCACCCTGTGGCCACAATTTACTAAACCCACCAGCACAACAGAGCAGCAGGTAGTGTTTTATTTAACACTGAAAACCAAAAATTTTAACGTCGAGCTTAGGATCAAGTCTGTTAGCAGAAATGCTCCAATAGGTTGATTCTGGAAACAGAATTCAAAGTACTTCCCAAAGTCCCAAATGTCCCCACCTCTTCATTTATCCCCAGTGTATTGTGCAGTGCCCTGAACCTGGGTAGGGGCTCCAATCTGCTTAATACAACATGTAAGAAGTCAGAATGAGCTACAAATAAGCTGTGACTTCCTATAAATGCTGAACTGGAAAGTTCCAAAGCACCCTACCACAAGGAATAGCAGAGTTAGTAAAACAGAATTCATTGGCTGCAGTCACTATTTAGAATTTTAGTTGAGACTCATGTGTAAGTCCCTTTCTTGGAAAAATTTTTGAAAAGCTTAGGTTGGCAAAATGTCTAATACCCTTCTGCATGATAAACCACAATCAGCTGAAATGTCTGCAGCACATGAGAAGAATAAACTTCTCAAGGTATTGAAATACCATTATAACCTGGGAAAAAAAATTGTGAAAGAAAGCTCTAAAATTTCATCCTTTAGAGCACAGGTTGGCAAGCTATGATCCATGATCACAACTCAGCTCTCTGCTTGTTTTTTGGTTTTGTTGTTGTTGTTTGGTTAAAGATTTTATTATTTGAGAGAGAGTACAAGCAGGGGGAGCAGCAGAGGAAGGGAGAAGCAGGCTCCCCAATGAACTAGGAGCCCAATGCAGAACTCATCCCAGGGCCCTGGGATCTTGACCTGAGCCATAAACAGACACTTAACAGACTGAGCCCCCAGGTGCTCCTCCCCTTGTTTTCAGATGGCTCAAAGGCTGAGAAAGGTTTTCACACTTTTAAGGGATGGGGAAAAAAAAACAAAAACAAAAGAAAAATACCTTTTACCATGAGAAAATTATATGACATTTGAATTTCAGTGTCCAGACATTAAGTCTTCTTGGAACCCAGCCACGCTCACTTATTTCCATGCGGTCTGTGGCTACCTCCACACTACAGTGAGCCACAGCAGAGTGGAGCGGTTCCCATGGAGACTATGTCGCCTGCCAACCTAAAGTACTTACAGTGTGGACTTCTACAGGGGGTAGAAAGTGCGTGTGGTTGTTTTTTGTTTTGTTTTTTTCACTTAGATACCTAACCTGGAATTCTAAGGATATATCTTCTTTCTTAAGATCAAGGATTTCCTTTCTATATGAGACACAACATCTTGCTAGAAGACTCTGTGCTCAAGATACTAAGTGATATCTGGGATGTCCTTTTAACTGGGGGCAGAGGAGAGGGTAAATCCTTTTAACAAAGCTTTCACATCAACTTCTTTCTTTATTCCCAAAAGTAATAAGCTTTAAACTGCTCTCATAAGCTTCAATAGTTTAATGTTACATCAAACTACCCAAAAAATTAAATAGAAGGGAACACAGGATGCCTCGTTCACCTCAAAGTTACTTGAAATTCAGATTCCACAGGCACCTGGCACAAAAGGACCTGTTTTCCCTGGAGGAGTACCCTCAGCACTGTGGTCAGGTCCCAGGGAACAAAAAACCCAAACAACTGATGCTCTCACTTGGCAGGTTAGCGACACAACTCCTACTCCCTGCAGCAGCCCTGCACACCTAGAGGCACTGCAGGTGGACTCACAACATTATGCTAGTACAGTGGTGACTGAAAAATCAGGATGAAAAACACATTTAAGTAAGAATTTTTGTGGAGGTGCTTGCTTTCACCACAACTCCCCTGAGGAATATTCTGGTACATGATTTCATGGCTCATGGAAGGACATGCCCTATGGAATGAATACACAGGTCAATCTGGCTGATCTGTTAGTAGGTCTGTCATGCATCTAATGACAAGAGATGAACTTATTAATAACCAGGGAAATTTCCCAGATGTTCTTGACTAAAGCCCCAGGAAGAGAGGCATCTAGATCTCCACTCCTCCAGAAACTGAAGAAACAAGAGTGCTCTCTCCTTACAAAGATACCTTCCTTGCTTCTTCATTAATGGGAAATGTATCCTTGAACCTCACAGTTTTGTCAGGGTCTTGATTATTTTTCCAACAGATGACAAAAGACTAATAGAAAAAGACAATCTGTAATAGGCCCCATTTTGTAGGTATAAGTGATCCCCCAAAATATGAATGCACTGTAGCCCTAAATGCCACGCATCAATTATTTGCCAAAAAAAAAATTTTAAATGGCAGCTGTGATCTCAATTCTCCCCATCTTTAACTTATGTATATAGTAGATATATATTAATGGTTCTATAATCACCTATATATTTTTATTAATAACTAAAAATAAAATTTTCTTCCTACTCAGATTTCTAATCTGGAATTCAAAGAACAGATCTTCCTCTTGTAGATCAAGGATTTTCTCTCTACAAGAGACCCAACATCTTGCTGACAGACTCTGCATGCTCCAAGATATTAGTTATGCCTGGGGCCCTCCTTTAACCAGGGACAGTATCTTGTTTACGGAAAAATGGAACAGGCAAAGGAAAAGCATCAGAGCTGTGGCAGAAAGGAACTACAGTGTGGGAATGGACAAGGCCTTGCAAACAGGGGAGATGTTAGCTGGAGATGAGGGGAATGAGATAGTTAGGAAGTTTTGTGGGAGGAATGGTCAAAGAAGGGCCAGCACTGAGGTCTCAGCTGGCAAGACAGTGTCAGCCATAAGGTTTCTAGCGGTGGGCCCAATCAGCAGCAGATAACTGCAGTTGTATGCTGGAGCTGGCTTGGACAGGCTCATGAGAGCCAACTGCTATGCTTTTAGGAATTTTGCAAGCCACTTGTTAAACACAGCCATTATTAAATAAGCTCCGAATTAAGTAAATTATATTAAAAATATGCAATAAATACTCAAGGTTCATACCTTTTTAATTATTTTACCACGGCTTCCTGTTACCTATAATCTTGAGGTTTACATCTATTTTATCTCTATGACAGAAAGAAATTCTATCATGATGGTGTGCTACTACGCATTTTCCCCAGCACACACCCCTTGCCAACCTTGCATTCAGTGATATGGCACTGACAGCTTGAAATCAACAATAACAGGAATATTTATACCACTGAAACTGCCAAATGCTACAACAAATCAGGGCTTCTCTTTTTCCTTTTTAACCATCACATCAAGAATAGATTAGCAGAAGGGGACAGAGGAAAAGTGAGACACATTCTATAGGGAAGGCAAGGACATGACATGGCAGGCCCAATCTAGGTAAGTGACTGCTTATGAGAACAAGAGTGGAGGACTGGCCATCAGAGAAAACCCAAGGCAAGTACAAAGTATCCCAGGTCCATGGATAACAATGCTGCAAGAATTCTGCTCACGGAAGATCAATATTATTACCACCTTAAGTCAATTTGTTTTCTAACTTCCAAATCTGGCTTTTAACATACAGCAGTAGGTAAGAGGATGGTCTCTGAATCACAGCCATGGCACCTCACTTTCTGTTTAACCTCTTGGGGTATGTTAAATTCTCTGCCTTAAGAGAGGACAATCATACCTCATATGGTTTTAAGAATTAAATAACTGATAAAAGTGAAGCACCTAGCGTGCCTGGGTGGCTCAGTTGGTAAGCATTTGACTCTTATTTCAGCTCAGGTCATAATCAGGGTCATGAAAACGAGCCCTGTGTTGGGCTCTGTGCTCATCGTGGAATATGCTTGAGATTCTCTCCTTCTCCCTCTGCCCCTCCCTAGTACACATGCTTTCTCTCCCTCTCAAATAAATAAATAAATAAATAAATAAATAAATAAATA